GCTGCTGCTGCTGCTGCCGCTGCTGCTGCTGCTGCTGCTGCTGTTGCTGCTGTTGCTGCTGCTGCTGCTGCTGTCGCTGTTGCTGCGGTTCCTCCTGACGTTGTTCTTGCTGCTGCTGCTGCTGCTGATACTGCCGTTCCTGTGGTTGTTGTTCTTGTGGTTGTTGCTGCGGTCGTTGGGTCTGTTGCTGATGCTGATGGTGGCTTTGTGTCAAGGCCATCGAGTCAGTAGGTGCCAGTGTTGGTGCTGTTCTTTCAGAGGGTTGTCCCTCTGTGCTTTGGCAGGCAAGTAGCAGGTCATTAACGAGGCTGCTTGTAACAACGAAAGCCTCTCCCAGTTTCATTGAGGTCGGCTCCAGCGGTTCTGCTCCAACTTCTCTAGCACTCACCCCTGTTACAGTGGGGTGTTCCGCCGTACGTGTAGCAGTTCCGTCGTTGGTCCCTGCTGCCTCGCCTCCCTTCTCCCTGTCCCTTTTGGCGTTTATTGTTGCTGAGGTAGGTGCTACAGTTCTCTGTGCTGGGGCGGCTGCATCTGTCCTTGTCACCCCCTCCCTACCTTCACCCTCCCTTCCCTTCAGTTCTGCAGCTGCAGCGGGGCGTTGTTCATTCCGTGCTTCCCCTGCCGTATCCGCACCCATATCCTCCGCCCCCTCCAGACCTCCTCTACCGTCGTTCCCAGCCGTCTGCATGAGTAGGCTGCTTGTGCTTCCTACCTGTTGCATTCCTGGCATCGGGCTGAAGGGTAGGGTTGTCGCCGGTGCCCCTGGGCATGGCGATGGGGCAGTAGGGGTCGGTGCATGGGCGAGTGGAGATGCCGGTGCTGGCTGCGATTCCTTTGGAGGGGAGCTTGCCGGTGAGATTGCAGTGAGAACAGCTGTTGCTCCTCTGATAGTCTCGGTGACAAGGGTCTGTAGCCAGCCCTCCTGTGTACCTTGCTGCACGCTTTTGTTCGTCTCGGTTTGGGCTGCTGAGGCGGGATTAAAAGTAGGAGCGGCGGTTGATGGCATCTGTAGCTGGGCTGTAGGTTGCGGCGGCGCTGTGGTCATTTGCAAATTGACCAGTAGTTGCTCGGTCTGCTGCCTTCCCGTCAGTGCCTGTGAGCTGGTAGGTGGTGGCCGAGTTGGTGGTGATTTGATTGACTGGGCGCCTGGGGTGGGGGGCCGTCTGTAGCTGAAGGTGAAGGTGTCAACCCCTCTAGTGGCTTTTGCCGGTGCGGTTTTTGGTAATGCCAAGGTCGCTGCGCCTGCAGGCTCTTCGTCCGGGTGGGACGTCCCTGCTGCTGGTGCGGTTGACGGTGTCGCAGTCACTGCCGTCGCCGTTGCAGATGTTACTACTGCTGCTGTCTGTGTGATTCGACCTGCATTTGCGCTGTCCGTGTTCCCTGGCGTCACAGCGGTTCCAGGCGAAGGTGCCGTTGCTGCAGTGGCGTCATGAGAGTGTGTGCCTGCTGCCTCGCCAGGTTTCCCTCCCTGCTGTCCCTCAACCGTGCCCAGGTCCCTCTGGCCTGTGTCCTTCGTGCCTGACGGCCTAGGTGCATCTGGCGGCGTTGCTGCAGGTGCTGCTATGGCCGAAGGGGCTGGTGCGATAATAGCGCCATTTCTGCTCGTCGGCGAGTGTGCACCTGCTCCGCCGCCTGCCTCTCCGTCATATCCCTCGCCTGATGTCGTCCAGCCGTCACCCCCAGCTCCTGAGTCGTGTGAGCGTTCAGAAGCTGCGAATTCTGCTTCTTCCATTTTCTCCTGCCGCCCCTTCAAGTTCCCCTCCAAACCGTCCCCCCCGCTGTTCGTGAGCTGCGTTTGTCTGGCACGTAGCAGGTCCCGTGTCAGCGTCGCAGTGAAAGCGGCGCCAAGGCGCCTCCTGACCGTTTTCAGTGGAGAATGCAGTGGGCGGCCTTGGCGTGTGTTTGAACGCGTGCCTAGGTAAACCGCGGTCATACTAGTTGCCGGCCTCCGGTTTCTTCGTTCGATTTGCTGTTCGTCGAACGGCGTAGTTTAGGGTTTATTCAAAAATAAAAAAGCCTAGCTGCAGCAACTAGCTTAGCCGCGCCAGAGCTGGCGCGGCTCGGGTTTCCTAAGTAGCGCGAAATAGGGAGTGGTGAGGAGGAGGTGAGTGGCGAGGGGAATTAGAGGGAGGGGTGGGGTGGGTCTCGATGTTTGAAAAAAAGGCCCCCCGAAGCGCGCGCGTTGAAATGCGCGCTTCGGGTGGTCAAAATTGGAATTTTGGGGGCGAAAAAAACTAAGTTTGACTTGGCGAGAAAAAAATTCTCGCCAAGGAGAGACTCGCCAGTCGAAGTTGCGGGTGCGGTTCAGTGCGGTGACGCGACTATGGTCGCGAGTTGCTCCGTGAGATAGGCGATTAAAGAACTATTTCTAACCTTTCTTCTCGTTTTCAAGCTAAGAAATCGCTCCAGTGCTGTTAAAAAAACGAGGCAAATGCATTTCGGCCAGGTGATGGCCATCCTCAGTGCTAACAGCATCTAGAGTGGCGAAATCAAACCTAAAAGGGGAAGAGAGGCTTGTGAGAGAAGGCCCTATCCCCTGTAGTAGCACCCAACAGAAAATGTACAACACCTAAAAACTAATCTAAACATTTATAAAAATGATATATTCATCTATATAAATATTTAGGTCGTTCTTCGGCGCCGCTGGGAAATAAAAATGTATTTCCTTTGTTCCTGTAGCGTGCTCTTGGGGAGCTGGGTCCTGCGGGGTGATGAAACGCACGCAACGAATAGGGCGAACGGCGTGGAAAGCACTAGGCAAGGAAAAAACAGGAGGAGATCGCAGGGTGAAGATAGATATGCGTGGCTAATCATTTTTGAATAGATGTAAACCCGCCCAGGCAGCCTGTATACTGTAAGAGTGCTGTCGTGAAGGTGCTGTTCCCGTGCATTTATGTGCTTGTGCGCCGGCGTGTCTACCTGTGCAATGCGTCGTGCTGGTGAATGCGCAGTGCTGGACATGCGATGCATATGAAGCAGGGTTTAGCTAGGGGCGCGAGAGCGGTGTTGCGGTCTGTGTATTCGTGTATAGGGGATGCAGGGGGTGTGATGTGTTATGTGTGTTTGGTGTGGAAGTATGCGTGAGAAGAGGAGGGGAGTGGGGACTTGGGGACAGAGGGACAGAAAGAGGGATGGGACAAAAGGATAAGTGAAGAGACTGTTGTTGGTTCTTGATTGGAGCTGCAGGGGTAGGTGGAGGGGGTGAGACATAGGGATGGCGAGATTAATTTTTTGAGAGAACTGGGGAGCGCATAGCGTGGGGGGGAGAGAGAGGAGCGGGGGGGGGGGGGGGGGGGGTTCGGGGGGGCGCAGCCCCCCCGATTGTTTGAAATGCAGTGTGAGAGGACAACAGCATGGAAAGCCACAAACAGGGGCGAGCCCAGCAACGATATACGATAGAGTCCAGTGGTGTCGTTCATGCGGCACTGCACTCGGAAGTAGCTCGAGCGTCGGCACTCGTGAAAGCAGCTCGGACGAGCATATTCCTCAGCTTAGGTGCTGCACGGAAGCTGAGGAAAGGCTGTCTCGGGCAGAGCGTCTCTAGGGTTGTCCTACTCGTCTCGGACCGGAGCAGGGACCTTATCTGTGGGTGCTCGAGACTAGGGTGGTACTCGAGCACAAAAGGCAGTACTCTGCCGTCACGGTGCTTACCTTTCACTGATCGTTGCAGGAGTGTTTCCCTGTCGCTGTACTGTACCTCGTCAAAGATCTGCCGGATGAAGTTCGAGTGGTAGCCGCGTGCTCGTAGACGCACTGCGAAAGAGGATTTCATCTGTTGGAAGCCCTCCTCTGATGACTCCCGCAGGAGGTAGCGGTACAGCTCACCAATTATGAATCCTCGTTTGCAGTGTCGCGGGTGTGCCGATCGGAAAGGGAAATACTGATAGACGTTCAGCGGTTTCTGGTACACTGAGGTGTCCAGAAAACCGCCTCTCACATCTTCCTTTCTCGTTGCCTCCCACAGATTACCTTTGCTGAAGGTGATGTCGAGCAGCGTAAACGATGTGGCGCTGACCTCGGTGGTGATGTGAATGCCGTCCATGAGGCTGTTGTAACCCTCTATCCATTGGTGTAGTTCTGCTAGCGATCCGGTCCAGACTACCAATCCGTCGTCGATGTAGCGTCTATGCAGTAGCACATGCCTTGACAGGGATGGGTGTAGTTCCTCCATGCGAGTGTCTAGCCAGCTCATAAAGAGAACTGCGTAGATCACTGCAACCGGAGTACCCATGGCTGTACCTCGAATCTGTCGGTAGAACTTCCATCGAATTGTAGGTGATTTTGTGTCATGACTAGCTCCAGGAGCGCACAGCACGCACTGAGCTGTTTGGCGGTACCCATCTCCGGCCAAACTGGGTGGCTGTGGATGTGCACGAATCTGTCCTTTGTTTCTCGGATGGCGTCCAAGCCCTGCTGGAGCGGGATCGACGGGTAGAGGCTCTCTACATCGTACGTGAGGAAGATGGCATGTTCAGGTATGGGGAGGGCACGAAGTGTGTGGAGTAGGGTGATTGAGTCTGGTAGATGGGTTGGTGCCAGGGCCAACAAAGGGCGTAGGTAGTGATCGAGCACCTGGCTGGCGTGTTCAAAGATCCAGAGAGTAGATGAGCAAATCGGTCTCCCCTTGACAGGGTCTTTATGCAGTTTAGGTAGCAGATAGAATCTGCACACCCGGAACTGCCCAGGGTGTATGTCCGTGTGATCCTCACATTCTGCTTCTGTGCGTCGCTCAACTCTTGGTTGCAGGATGTACTCGATGGTTTCCTTCGGAAACCTATCCTTGTACCTCGAGCACCAAGTGTTGAGGTCCCTGCACAGGTCGTCCATGGGTACCGCTGCGACCTCTTTGTAGGTTTTGGTGTCGGATAACTGCCTAAGTGCCTCTGCTCGATACCACGAAGTATCTAGGAGTGCGAGTCCCTAGATTCTTATCTGCTGGCTTTACCACCACCTCTTTATTCTTACCCAACTTTTGTAGGCACCGTAACGCTTGCTCACTCATGTTCCTGCGTGCGCTACGCGTCATCAGTGGGAGGCGTTTGGTAACGTTCCTTCCCACCTCCGCGATGTATCGCTCTACAGGGGGGGGAGCAGGGTTGGGCATCCAGGATGGGTTGGCAATACGAAAGCGTGGGGCTGGCCTGTCAGACGAGAACTGTGCGGTAAGTCTCACTGCTCTCGTGAATCTTGAGAGGGCGCTCATAACTGTTTGTTCTGTGGGGGGTGATGGGGTTGGGATGAAAGAGAGTCCTAGGCTTAGCCCCTCGAGCTCTATGCGCGAGAGGGTGAGTGCGGATCTGTTGTGAATGAATTTCGAGTTTAGTTCGTCCTGTAGGATAATCTGCGGTGTTCGAAGTAGGCGTTTTTGGGTTGGGGTCAGCAGGGTCGAGGTGTGCTTGCGTCTAGGCCTCGAGCGAGGTCGTTTGTATTGACTGGTCTTACTCACCTGCCGGTAGGTGTTATTCGCTACCAAAGCAGAAGATGGTGTGGAGGGTAGGGTGTTACAGGTAGTGGCGTCGATGGATGCAGACTGAGAGATGAGGTGCTGGTTTGTTGGGGTTGGTGGTGTTGGGGTTGGGTCGGCTTGTCGGTGGTGGGTGTGCGGTGGTGTCTCTACCTGGTTGTGCTGTGCGTTTGATGTAGGTTGGGTCATGTGGGCGTACCTTTGGTGAGGGTAGCTGGTCGTTGGTGTCTGTAGACGTGTTGCTTGCCGCATGCTGTTCTGTGAGGGGTGGGAGGGGTTCGCTAGTTTAAAAAATGCATTGCTGAGGCATGGGGAACAGAGGTGTTGTTGAGAGTAGAGAGTGCCCCTATAACTTGTGCCGGTCCAGCTCTCCCTGTTGCTTGGGTTGCTTGAAGCCCTTGGGTGACCTGCTGGATAGGGGGGGCGTAAGGCATGTATGCGTATGTCTGTGGTGCGGGTGTTGATGACATGACCGATATGTTCGAGAGTGCTGGCTGCGCCTGTGCCTGTGGGGGCAGAGAGGGGATGAGATTCTGAGAAAAGAAGAGGGGTTGCGTGTGGGGCAGGATATGGCTGCCACTTGCAAAGGTGGGGTGATGGGGTGTGAAGGGGTATGGGTGGTACATGTTGTGCGGTGCTGGAGCTGCCATGACGGTGTATGCGGGGAATGTTGCTGGCGTGAATGTATGCGGAGCTTGCTGGGCAGGGGTGTTAAGTTGTTGTGCAACTCGTGTCTGTGTCTCTAGTGTGTGGTTACCTGTGCCATTTGTCAGCTGTGCTGTGCGTTCGGTTGCATGCTCGGGGTCCGGTGGTTGCTCGTTCTGTGCTGGCTGCCCTTGACCCAACTGTGTGCTTCCCGGCAGTTCCAGCTGTGTGTCCCTCTGTTGCTCTGTCCCTTCCCTGCGTCCCCCCTGTTGCGCTCGTGTCGGTGCACCCCGTGCTGTGTTCATATCTGCGCGTGCTGCTGGCCGTCCGTATTGTGATGGGAGCTGTGGTGCAATGCGGAGTGCGTACTCTTGTTGCCACTGTGTTGGTTGTGTGGTGTGGGCTGTTCCCCAGTGGAGCCGCCTAGGCAGGTTTACCTTTAGCCCACGCATAGCTACCTTCACCGCTGCAGCAGTCTTGGCGAGTGCTGCAGACGGCTGCGAAGTCCCTGCTGTAACCCGCCAGCGCCCTCCATTTCGTGTGCCCTCCTCGTGCCGCGCGATTGTCGCCACCGCTGAGGGGAGTGCCGGTCTTGCCCCGGTCACTTTCTGGGCCGCTGTTGCGCCGCCTGCTACCGGTTGCCTTGGTCCTGTTGGCTGCTGCC